TCATCACACAAACAAGTTGTGCCTACACCACAATTGTTTACTAAACCCTAATATTTGATTATTTACTTTACATTTTTGGCAACTATCCCAGTGACAGGGTTATTACTCAAGTGAGAACTGTCTAGAAGGACTTTACATTCTAGCTCTCAGCCCATGAGCATGGATGGAAAGCTGAAGCAGACTCCACTGGTCTAGTTAGTATTTGCTGCTTTGCACGATGGATGGGTCAAACAGGGGTGCAGTTACAGATCACCTTTGCTCAATCTGTCAGCTAATTATGTACTTTATACTGTTCCCTCTTTCACTTACATCCTGAACAAGTTTGTGTGAAGAAGTGTCCAATTGTTTATATTTCTGTTGCTGCTGGCTAGCCCACTTCTGTTAAATGGTTCATCAAGATATCTTGCAGCCCCAACAGATCTTTCTATACCTCTAATCTTAAATGAAGCACTGTCCACCAGCTACACAGTGTGGCCAGTGTATGGATACTGGTAAATCTGCAGCAGCCCCAATACTAATTCCATTGTCGCATATTTAAAAGAAGAAAAACTACTCCAACAAGAGGACATAGTCTTAAATTAGAGGGGAAAAGGTTTAAAAATAAAATCCGGAAGTATTACTTTACTGAGAGGGTAGTGGATGCATGGAATAGGCTTCTGGCTGAAGTGGTAGAGGTTAACACAGTAAAGGAGTTTAAGCACTGTAGGCAGTACAGTGGAGTAAAGTCTGCAGACAGATCATGTGTGCTAAACATCTGTCACTATTCATCAGATCCCACGTGGATCACTGAAGTATGGAAAGTTGAGGAAGGTTAAAATGACCAACAGCATGCCCATCACACTTACTATAAGTTAATGTGTAAATTGTCATTACCAAGGGGAAAACACATTTGACAGGCATGTTTGACAAGTTTGAGATGATACGATAAAATCAACAAGACGATAAACAGGTTGTCCTCGGTGCCCAACAGATAATAATAAAGATATGTATTGTTTGCAGACCTACACGTCAGAGAACTGCATTGAACATTCAGGTGTCAGAAGATTGCTTGGCAACACTGTACCAACTGAAAAGGTCAACATTTGGTAATTATAAATTGAGATTAGTATCAGTATCTGAGCATTGTGAAACTCATAAAACATGGGTAAATAAGCAGTTGCTTCAGATGCAGTACCTACTCATAAAATGAAAATAAGCAAAACTTGCTTAGTGACAATATAATATCTTAGGGTTTCTAAGCAGGCCTTCAAGTATGGATAGGACTTGCAGGTAAAATGAACTTATTTGATAAGTCAAGAAAGTAGGTATGTTTAACTCTATTTTATGATGTATTTATTTTATTTTGTTAAAGAGTCAAAAGATATATGGGATATGTCAATATTTTTATAAAACAATATTCTATACCTGTACCTTTGCATGTATAAAATGTATCAATTGCTTGTTTCAATCCCAGTAGCTCTGTGGATATGGATTTGGACAAAACATAAGGCAATTTATTAATTGATCTGAAACAGCAATTAATTAATTAATTACATTTTGCTCAAAATATAGAAAGCAGAATGCATGGTGAACAAAACTCATTAACTTTGCTCATTCACTTTCTACCTTCCATCCCCTCAGCTTTGGGATTTTGCACAACATTTAATTAATATGAGGAACTTGGTCAATGCTCCTAACCCATGTGCCATAGGTAATGAGTTAAATAACCACAACAGCAGCTCAACAGCATCCTAATTCTGTACTCTGGGCTGTGGCAAAAGGCACGATTATTTAAAGGGACACTATAGTCACCAGAACAACTACAGCTTAATGTAGTTGTTCTGGTGAGTAGAATCATTGCCTTCAGGCATTTTCATGCAAACATTGCCTTTTCAGATAAGGGGAGGCGGGCCACCTAAATGGTGGATTAAACACTGTAGGGTCAGGAATACATAATTGTGTTCCTGACACTATAGTGTTCCTTTAAAAGGTGGACATGACCAATGAAAAAACAAAAAGAGAGTGAAGCAGCACTAAGAAAAACTGAATAAAAATAAATATGAAAAGGAAGCACACTTGCAAAGTAGGGGATTTCCTCCAAAACCACAAAGATCAAGTGAAGAGTAAAAACATATAAACCATGATGCACCAAAAACCAATATTTATTGAAAATAAGATAAAATTAACAATAGGTAAAACCACAATCAGACCCGATAATGTCCCTTTAAAGTTGACCTGACCAATGGTAGATTGCATTTGTATGTATAGAAATTATATATGAAGTTAACTGTAAAAAATAATAATCAGATGGGCAGCATGGTTAATCTTCAAGGATTAACATTTATATAGATACTTTATTTTGCAAAATTCCATTTAGAATTCAGTAATGTTATTCAAGAATCCAAAAGCAATTAATGTTGCTGTTACATATCCATTTATAAATTTACCCTATTCTATGACAGAAACATCTCTAATGCATTACTGTGATACACCTCTGTAAACATAAACCATTAGCACAAGCAGTTTAAACCTATTGAAGAATTATTAAGGGGACACCATAGGCACCCAGACCACTTTATCTCAATCAAGTGGTATGGGTCCCATGTCCCTATCATTTCACCCTACAACTGCAAACATTTCAGTTCTGCAGGAATGGCAATGTTTACTTGGCAGAGTTTAAATGTCTCTAGTCATACTGATAGCGACTGGATGCACTTTCACCAAAACAGTCTAGTTAAACTGGTCTATTTCAATCAGATGGTCTCTACGAGATCTCCTGTTTTGTGCGACATTTTGAAATGCATGCGCACTAGCCTCCCAATGCTTTCCTATGGCAAAGATCATCAAGATTGACGATCTTTGTTAAGGAGCCTGGGCCAGCCATGGAGAGAACGTGGCGTGGGAGAAAAGGTAAGTTAAGGCAGTAAACTAAATGGCTACAGGACACAATAGCATTAGAAATACACATGTAGCGGAGAGGCAGTATAATCCACGATATCTCCGCTGGGTAACAGGAACAACAAAGGATAATCCAGGGAATCAGCATATATTAATCCAAACAGCACTGCAGTAACCCTTCCTTCCCAAGAACTAGACGACACATAGGCTGGGAGTCAACTGAGGTTTTAATCACAGGTCACAGTATTTATGCAATTCCCCATGCAAGGGGTTTCCAAACTGACATTACAGGGGTTGTACAGGAGGGGACTACATGGGGGACTTACATTACACCCTATTTCTCCCATCAGGCACCGCTGCACGAGAGGGATAGTCTTCCCAGAATGCACCGTTAAGTGGACTCTCCCCTCGTGCAGCAGAACCGATAATTCGCATAAAAATCAATAACTTGGTGAATATATAGTGGATTTACACGAATGGACGTTCGGCAGATAGCTGGGGTCTGAGGGTATCATTCGTGAGGTTACCGCTCAGATCCCAGCTAAACTAACCGAACGCCGCACGAACAACACAATTCACATAAAATATACAAAAAGAACCGATTGCTATTATGGAACAAAATACCGAACGTCCCGAAACTCCCGAACGTCCTGGAGGCTCAGCGGGGCTCATGCCGTCGAGTAGCCGTTTTTAGTACCAGGCGCTCGACGACATAACCCCGCTGGGGAACAAAGGATCCAAGATGGCCGACCGCCGCATGGTCGGTAGTCGAACGACGGCCACCCAGGAGAGCCTCTAATAACCGATTGCAACAATGTTGCAATCGGTTAACTAGCGCCACACGCCTCTAAGTGTGTGGGCTATTAGGGGGTATCGCATTCGGTTCACGAACGGCCCTCCAAAGTGCCGTTCGTGAAACGAACGAGAATCCCCATACAAACCGCCATTTGCATTCGGCGGAACAGATAGGTACAGGCAATGCAGGGAATACATGAAGCAGGCACATACAGGTACAACGCATCTTCTTTCCAGATCTATAGGCAACCCTTAAAGGCATAGTGTCCAGTTATAGTCCGAGTGGCTAGGTTTGCCACAATGCTCCCCCAGAACCAAGCCGGCATACACAGTCTGATCCCAACGGATCGGCTTGGGGATGTCCGGAGGAGTACTCACGAATCACGGCTCCAAGTCTGTTTGTCTAGACAACCCGTCGGCGTTGCCATTCTGCTTCCCAGGGCGGTAGTGGATAGTAAAGTCAAAAGGCTGCAGCGCCAAACTCCAGCGCAGCAGCCTGGCATTGTCTCCGGACACCCTGTTCAGCCACACCAACGGGTTGTGATCCGTGAGTAAAGTGAAGGGTTGCCCGTATAAGTAGGGTTGCAACTTCTTGAGGGCCCACACCACAGCCAGGCACTCCTTTTCAATGGCGGCGTAGCTTACTTCCCTGGGTAAAAGTTTTCGGCTTAGGTAAGCTACGGGGTGCTCGCCGCCATCGGGTCCAACTTGGCTCAATACTGCTCCCAATCCAAACATAGAAGCGTCTGTGTGGACGAGAAAGCGTTTAGTTGGATCAGGAGCAGAAAGTACAGGAGAGTTAACAAGCGCCGTCTTGAGCTGTTGGAACGCCTGCTCACACTCTGGGGCCCAGACTACTAACTTAGGGAGGTTCTTGCGGGTCAGGTCTGTGAGGGGTTTGGCGAGGGCGCTATAGTTGGCCACAAACTTCCGGTAGTACCCGGCGGTCCCTAAAAAGGCGAGCACTTGGGTCTTGGTGCGAGGGGTAGGCCATTGGGCGACTGCCTCTATTTTAGCAGGTTCGGGTTTCTGTTGCCCACTCCCTACCCGGTGCCCCAGATACTGGACTTCCGCCATACCGATATGGCATTTGCTGGGTTTTAGGGTCAGTCCGGCCTCTCGGATTCGGTCTAGAATGGCTCCTATGTGAACCAGATGTTCGTGCCAGGAGTGGCTGAATATGGCGATATCATCTAGATACGCGCAGGCATACTCCTGGAACCCATCTAATAGTCTGTCCACCATTCTCTGGAAGGTAGCTGGAGCGTTTTTCATCCCGAATGGCATGACCTTAAACTGATACAGGCCAAACGGGGTGACAAAAGCCGACTTAGGGATGGCGTCTTCCGCTAAGGGAATCTGCCAGTACCCTTTGCACAAGTCTATAGTGGTTAGGTACTGACCCCTGGCCATCTTGTCGAGGAGTTCGTCTATTCGGGGCATGGGATATGCGTCAGAGGTTGTTTTATCGTTGAGCCGTCGGTAGTCCACGCAGAAACGGGTCGTCCCGTCCCGTTTTGGCACCAGTACTACCGGGGAGGCCCAGGGGCTGTCCGAGTGCTCTATTACTCCTAGCTGAATCATCTCCTCAATTTCCTTGCGCATATTTTCCTTGACTGCTTCTGGAGTGCGGTATGGGGGTTGGCGCAAGGGGGTCGGATCTAACGTTTCTACCTTATGGGTAGCCAACGGGGTATAGCCGGGTAAATTGGAAAACGTGGCCTTCTTTTCCCGAAGCAACTTTTGTACCTGGGCCCGTTCTTGGGCATTTAATCTTTCTCCTAGCTGTACCTCTCCCAGATCTCCGCTCTGGCCCTCTTGGTCTAGGAGATCGGGTAGGGGTAGGTTATCAAAATCTTCCGTGGCAGGGGCACAGATTGCGGTGACTTCCTCAGTCCGTTCGTGGTATGGCTTGAGCATGTTCACATGGAGCATGCGTTTGCCTCCCACGCCGGTAACCGGGCCGATCACATAGGTGGTGTCACAGATCTGTTCCACCACTTTGTATGGGCCCTGCCAGGAAGCCTGCAGCTTATCTTTGTGGACGGGTCGCAGGATTAGGACTTTCTGCCCCACCTGGAAGCTGCGGTCCCTGGCTCCCTTATCATACCATCGGCGCTGTCGTTGTTGCGCTACCTGGAGATTGTCTCGGACGGTCTGGGTTAGCCTCTCCAGGCGTTCCCTGAACTCGAGCACATATGGTAAGATAGGGGTGCCATTAATGGTTTCGTCTCCCTCCCAGTGTTCCCGTATCAAGTCAAGAGGTCCCCTCACTCTCCTCCCGAATAATAATTCGAACGGAGAGAATCCGGTGGATTCTTGTGGCACTTCTCGATACGCGAACAGTAGGTGGGGTAAGAACCGCTCCCAGTCCTTTTGGGTGTCCATGAACGTGCGGATCATTTGTTTCAGGGTTCCGTTAAATCGTTCACAGAGCCCATTGGACTGGGGGTGATATGGGGAGTTGAGGATTTGTTGTATCCCACATATTTTCCAGAGCTGATGGGTCACTTCAGCAGTAAACTGGGTGCCTCTATCGGAGATAATCTCCCGGGGAAATCCTACCCGGGTGAATATCCTCATCAGGGCCTCGGCTACCGTTTCTGCGTGTACGTTCGTTAGGGCCACTGCCTCGGGGTACCGGGTGGCGTAGTCCACCACAGTTAGGACATACTTCTTGCCGGAGGGGCTGGGTTTTGCAAGGGGACCTATGATGTCTACTGCCACCCTACTGAATGGTTCTTCAATGATGGGCAGAGACCGTAGTCGGGCTTTGTATCTGTCCCCCCTCTTGCCTACCCTTTGGCAGGTATCGCAGGTCTGACAATATCGCTTAATATCCTGAGAAATACCTGGCCAAAAGAAATTTTGGGTCAGCCTGTGCTTGGTCCGACTGATGCCTAGGTGTCCAGACAGAGGGATATCATGGGCTATGCGTAACAGCTCTAACCTATACTTTCGAGGCACTATTAGCTGTTTAATGGGCAACGGTATTGACCCGGACACTACCTTCTCTGCGTGCCGATATAGTAGTCCTTTGTCCCAGATATATCTTTCCCCCTCTAACCCGGCTTGATTTTTATCCATGCGGTCTTTGTATACCTGTAACGAAGGATCTAGGGCTACTTCGGCCCCGAACTCTATGGAATTGGCCCAGGGCATGATAGGGGGTAGGGGAGGGTCATTGCTTACCTGAGCCTCAGAGTGTTCGGAGGGTGCAGTGGTGCGGGCCTGTTGCCGGGTCACAACCGGGTATGCTTCTTGTACGGTGGGCTGTGGAACAAAAGCTGAAGTCAGCTCCCCCAAATCGTTGCCCAAAATCACATCCGCTGGCAAGTCTTGCATCATCCCCACATATACATTCCCGTGCCCCGCTCCCCAATTCAAGTGCACCTTGGCCGTGGGTACTTTGTAAATGGCTCCCCCAGCCACCCGCACAGCCACACAGTCCCCCGTGAGCTTGGGCTTTGGTACCAGATGACTGCGTACTAGAGTTAGGGTGGCTCCAGAGTCACGAAGTCCTTGTACTTTCCTCCCCTCCATGTGTACTTCCTGGCGGTGCCCTTGGCGGTTATCGGAGGCGGCCTGGATCGGGTTCACCTCGTGTAGAGTGCCGAGGGGTTCCTCCCGGGTTGTCCCCAACTCCAGATCTTGGTAGGATTCGGCCTGTAGACAATGGACTGCGGCACGGTTGCTCGGGGCGGCGTTATTCCAGCTGGGTCGAGGCCGGTTCCGTGGGCAGTCTCTCTGGATGTGCCCCTGTTGGTTGCAGGTATGGCACCGGATTGGTGGACGTGCTGAATATCTGGGGGGGTAGGAATTCTGGTTTGCCCCCTGGAGGGCTGGTCGTTGTAGGGGGAATGGCGGCTCGGGTTGGTATGGGTTGATCTCTCCGATTGTCCTGGAAATCGTCTGCCATATTAGCCGCTTCCTGCAGGGTGTGTGGCTTTCTGTCCCGGATCCAGTTTTGTAGGTAGGTCGGGACGCCATTGAAGAATTGTTCCAGTACCATTAGCTGGAACAGACCCTCCAATGTATCAACTTGGGCGGCCTCCAGCCACCCCTTGGCAGCTCGTTGCAACTGGTGCGCCCATTCCACATGTGTGTCCTTAATGGGTTTTTTAATGTCCCGAAACTTCTTTCGGTATGCCTCTGATGTGATGGCATACCGGGCTAGGATGGCCCGTTTTACTTTAGCGTAGTCTCTACTATCCTCGTCTGGTACTGCCCGGTACGCTTCGGCGGCTCGCCCAGATAATCTCCCCGCTAGTAGGGGTACTCTGTCTGCATCATTAATTTCGTGCAGCAAACACAGTCTCTCGAAATCCTGTAAATAGTCGTCAACGCCACCCTCTGTCTCCACATAGCTTTTGAAGGCTTGATATGGGATTTTGGCTTTCCCTGGGAAAATATGGACTGGCGTTGCGGCTCTTTCCCCGGCTTGCTGGTTCCCTGGCGGTCCCCTAGCCATTATGTACTCCTGTACATCAGCGAACAGCCGGTTAATCATCTCTGTAGATGGGGGTTCAGGAAATAAAGCCATTCGTGCTCGGAATTCCGCTGTAAATTCATGGGTTTGTCCCTCCATTCGAGGTGCTGCAGCAGCTGCGGCTCTGTCTCCTTCCATGAGCTCCGTAATTAGGACAGCCTTTGCCTTGTTACTGGCGATTGCTCCTCTTGCTTCCAGCAGCTCCTTTAATGTGCTCCGTTTTAGCAGGGCGTAATCTGTTCCCATTCACCTGCTGTTCGTGAGGTTTATTCGAATGCGCTAATTCCCGAATGCTTGTTCCTTGATTCGTTTAAAAATCTGCCGAACGTTGCTTTGCTGTGTAAATTCAATCCCGTCGCTTGCCACCAATTGTAGCGGAGAGGCAGTATAATCCACGATATCTCCGCTGGGTAACAGGAACAACAAAGGATAATCCAGGGAATCAGCATATATTAATCCAAACAGCACTGCAGTAACCCTTCCTTCCCAAGAACTAGACGACACATAGGCTGGGAGTCAACTGAGGTTTTAATCACAGGTCACAGTATTTATGCAATTCCCCATGCAAGGGGTTTCCAAACTGACATTACAGGGGTTGTACAGGAGGGGACTACATGGGGGACTTACATTACACCCTATTTCTCCCATCAGGCACCGCTGCACGAGAGGGATAGTCTTCCCAGAATGCACCGTTAAGTGGACTCTCCCCTCGTGCAGCAGAACCGATAATTCGCATAAAAATCAATAACCTGTGAATATATAGTGGATTTA